CCCCCCCCCCCCCCCAGTAATTATTTTATAATTCACCCCCCCCCCTCAAAAAAAAATTATAATAATATAAATAAATATATAAATACATTTTACATTGTGCTGATCTAATTTAATAACACAAAATTGTAGGGACAATTTTTTATTGCATCATTAGCTTGTAACTCAAGTTAAAAAGTTTGTACACTTAAATTTTATAATGCAGAATCAATGAAAAGGTTGACTAAAAACTAAATATCATTTGTTTGTGGATGCATAAATATGATTATTCTCAGTATAGCTGACAATTGTAGCATAGTTTCTAATTGCTATCCTCTTCCCATCGATCCCATGGAGTAGCCACGTGTTGCTCTATCGTAACAATGGGCATAGCAGTTGATTTATCATTTTCATCTTGCGGAACTGATATACCAGACAAGTCAACATCATCATAATCCAACACATTAGCAATTAAAATAGAAGCATTGTCAGTGTGAGCAATAACTACCGTAAGCTCATTCTCTGTCTCCTGGCAGCTACTCGCATTGGTCGAATCTTTTTTGTTGGGGAGAAGGTGGTAATTTCTTATGCACAAGAGTGCATGGTCGGTGCTGTTGAACATGCTTTTTCAACATGACTTGTGATTCAAAATAGATTTTACAGATTTTGCAAATCCGTTCAAGCAGCGATGTTATTATTGTTATTCACTTTACATTCAACTAATTCTCAAAATATCGCATTCCTACTCTATCAATAGCATTTATCTTGACTGCACATGACACTTGAACCTTTTCCTTGTTCCATACCTGCAACATGATCGGAAACATACCGACCTAGTCAATTGCGACAAACTGAACCTACAGGCGAAGAGAGGCCAACTTTTGACTTCTCTTGCACTAACAAAGTGTGCTAACATTCTGAACAGCCATCAGTAATGCACTGACAGACACACATTAAATAGAGTTATATTGTTAAAAGTCTAAAAATTATATAACCATTTTAATTTACACTCATTAAATTTGTTAAAATAATGTAATAACCAGTCAAATTTTAAGATTAAAATTTTAATCGAAAAAAAACATGATTGTTGACGTCAACTAATTTAACCTTCCCCCTTGTCAACAATTGTCAAACATTTACCCCCCACCCCCCC